TAAAAAGAAAAAGAGGTTTCTACAAAATATAAAACTTCATTAATGGTAGTAATAGAATTATAATTGTTCTTATTCCGAGGCCAGCTTCACATTATCCTGAGGCCAGCTCCAGACCCTAGTCACCCTAGATAAGAAAATTGTCATTGCCAGTTTGGGCTGCCTTAGTAGATGCTAAGGTATTAGATGTTGTGGACTGCGAGCTATTGGAGCCATCTTCTTCTTTTATTCTAGCGAAGAATTCTGCAAATCTTGGTTCATTTCGGAGACTTGAAACGGTAACACGGGATGCTCGTACCAGCTCGGTCTTGAGCAGGTGACAACGCTGCCTGTAGAAATCTCTTTCCCTCACAGAGGCACTCAGCTGACGCTTCAAGTCTGCTATTTGCTGGAGTAGAGTTTTATTTGTAGTTTCTAATTCACTTTTTTGCTGCATTCTTTTTGAACGGCAATTCTGGGCGTAGCCCCTGTTTTTCAGAGTGCGCCGCTTCTGTTTCAGTCGCTGCACTTCACTTTTAGGGCAACCTTGCAGGCGCCTGTTGAGTTCCCTAACCGGTAATGAAACCAAATCATCATCGTCGATAACTGAACTCTCGGGGGACATGGGGGGCCCTGGTGAACGTGCCGAGTTCCGCCTGGATCTTTTAGCAGATGTAACAGATCCACTCGCCACACTTTGAGAATCATCTTCAACGTCCAATTCATTATCATCGTCGTAATCCAAATCGAATTCATTGTTACACCTGCCCGAGAGATCTTGGCTTTCTGACTTGACAGACGGCGAAACTGGGTTATTGTGAACATTAGGCGGCTCGAGTGATCTCAACAGCTCCTCAAGGGGGTTGGACTTTCCGTCATGTTTGTTGGAAGTAATGTTTCCAACGTCTGAACATTGCGAGCCCAACTTTAAGAACCAGTCCTCGAAATATCCTCGGTCTCCGAAAGCGCTTCCAAAACTGGATAACGAACGAGTAGGGGAGGGGAGTGAAGTCTGAGAGGTGGGGAGTGGGGTGCTTGGAGAAGGAGGGATAGAGTTGATGGGGGTACTTTGGGTGCTACTGAAACTATTATTATTGCTCGCAACAGCTGACAATGTTGGGCTGGGGGGGACTTGCAGCTGCCCGGTGACCTGACCTGTGACCCCAGCACCAGAACAGGTTTGCTGCGGCTGTGGGGTTGCCGCACCACTGCAGAACCCTAGCTCTGTTTTCACCATCGAGCTTTGCAGCTGGGGTAATTCGTGTCCATCCATGAAAAGATCGAAGCTCTCAATGTAACTTTCCGCTAGCTCGTCCATGGTTTTAAAGGGTCGTTGAATGGATATCTAGTTTGTTTAAGATTTCTTTATAAACAGTCCGTTTAAAGTAGTTTTATTTCTAAAATTTTAAGATCCTGGTGGTTGCCTCGCTCCCAGGACTAGGTCACTGCTAGTGAAGGCCGTACACTCTTGCTAACAGTTCGCAAGTCGGTTGTTCACACTTTAAAAAAATAACTTTCTAACAAAACGGTTAATGCTTATTCCTCTTGAAAAAAAACACACACCAATCACAGTTTAAAGCTATTGAAATGGACGTTATGAACACAGACTGTACCGAAATATCACCAACGGTCCGGCCACAGCACAATCACCGAACTGCACAGGCTGAGAGCTAAGGCAACGACAGGCTCAGGGGGTATTCCCGACGGATTTTATACCAGCGAGGTCGACGTCACAGCAACTATTTCAGGAGCAGCCAATCGTTGAGCTCAGAAAACAATTTTTAAGGCAACTTGCTCAAGGCCTTCGGCGATAGCGAGGCGAAGGTGATAAAATCGCTGGCTTTTACCCGTTTGAGATGTAAGAGTAAGGCACCAATACGAGCTACTAGCGCAAAATAAATTGTACATTTATTTATTAATCACAATAAATTATTAAACAATAATACGTTATGTTAAGTATGGTATATTTTATACCAGATTACCATTCTAAACTACTATGTAGTTAATTATGACAATTGTCTAGTTAAGTTGGAAAAAAAGGGAAACCTCGACAGAGACAGAGTAGCGGGCTCATGAACCGATTTAACTTTTTCTCTTTCTGATCTCTCGATATCTAATTTTTGTTAGAATCACTAATGTTCCAACAACAAACAAATACTGTACGCTAATGAACAAGTAGTATGCTAAACGTTATTCAGAAGCCGGCTAAAGCATGTGCCGGGATCATGAAAAAGTACAGTTAAAAATATAATAAATGACCTTCCCCTTCGCCCGCTTTCACCCCCCCCCTTTCACCCCCCCCCCCCCGTTAATAAAACTGAAGTTGTTTAATTTTAATCTGTTAATTGTGTATGTTTTAAGAAAGTGTCCATATTTTGAACAAAATCAAGCTTACTAGCTTTGAATTAAGAATGTTCTAGTTCTAGAAACTAGAATCGAATCGATAAGCTGCAAGCGAATTACGGTGTAACACACCAGTGGGAGACGTTTTATTCAACAGGTCATCACTATAAATAGACATCGGCAGTTTCCGTTGTTTTTTTTTCCGTTCACCTCTCCTCCTACACTCCCTCCCTTGTTCGGTTCACCTATTGTGCGTTTTAATAAACACATTTTTACATACATTTGACCATGCGTAATATCAAAAGATGTTTTAACATGGGTAATATACTTATGGTTGAAGTTTGACTACCACAGTGTCAGTGTAGAGTGACTGCCTAGTGCGTCCAATCCACAGGGTACTGACACTGATACAGTGCACCGGCACCACGCCCATTTCGGTAACTGGTCTCGTTTACACACCGAGTTAAAGGCAGCAACAGTAGCAGCTTGTCTTGCCGGTTTATCATCAACAATCGATTTAACAGTCATGAAGTCAAGCACACACAGTAACCATCGCGGAGTGTCTGCCACCCTCCCACAAGATAAGATAAGAGTTTAAAAAAAACATGTATGAAATGTAGATGGGAACTGACAAACAATACAGTATACAATACTTCAAATTACAACTATGACTATGTAATTTATTATTTATTGAATTCAGCACATCGACATCATCACAAAAAAAAAAAAAAAAAAAAAAAACTAACGAAAAAAACCCAACACAACACAATCGTCGCGGAAGGGGAAACTACACACGCAAATAAAGCCTCGAGGCGTGTAGACATGTTAGGCTGCCATTTAATGTCGCACAATAATGATGAGTTACGTAGGTAGACATTGCGTGTGACACGTCAGTCTACTCCATAAAGTATAGCGTTATGGTACCTCCTTCCCGTGGGCTATTGTCGAATGTCATGTCTCTTGTCTAACCATGCACAGTTGCATCTGCAAAATTTTGACGCAGTTCATGATTAGCCACTGGGTTAAAGTTAAATACCCGGCAACAAGAACTTGAAGAAGGATTTGTTTATAAGTCAGTGATGTACGGTAGTACTGTAAGGGACTAATGACTCGTGGTGAGGGCAAGGGATTCAATCGAGGGTTGGTGGGTACAGACAAATAAAAGCAATGTCGGAATAAATGACTTTTCAGTAGTCCCGGGACGTGGTGAGACAGCCCCAGCCCCGAGTCTTGTCAATTTGATAATATGTAATGAAAATATGTAAACAAAAATAAATTAAAATACCGGTACTATAGACAACAAAAATACGAACTGCTGTGTAGGTCTCACTCCCATGTCTACCCAAACACCGGTCATCATATTCATACAGATGCCACAAGAGTACTGATCATCATGCAGAGACCTCACTGTCACAGGATTTTACCTCTCTTCATGAAGAGATGTCACTGTCAGAGGGGTAGCAGTCATCATGAAGACCTCACTGTCACATGTGTGCCAGTTTTAGTTATAAGGTAGATAAGTTAATGTCACATGTGTGCCAGTTTTAGTTATAATGTAGATAAGTTAATGTCACATGTGTGCCAGTTTTAGTTATAATGTAGATAAGTTAATGTCACATGTGTGCCAGTTTTAGTTATAATGTAGATAAGTTACTGTCACATGTGTGCCAGTTTTAGTTATAATGTAGATAAGTTAATGTCACATGTGTGCCAGTTTTAGTTATACTGTAGATAAGTTATTGTCACATTCCAGGAAGTCATACCCTCATGTTGTACCCTGTCTTGTGCCATGGCATTGCACTGTGTATAAAAAAAAAAAACCACCTTGATATATATAAATATACACAGACAGGGTATTTGAGAGTTCGTTGGGTGCGACTTGGCCTGTGGACCTTTTGGGACTCTTGTCTCACTGAGACGTTAGCTGAAGAGACTACCCAACAACTGCCTCAAGAACAAATGTGTGCGTGTGTTCCCTGTCTCTGTTTGGCCTCATTGACAGGATATGCCAAGGACAAAGTATTTACATGCATTGAATTGAACATTAAAAGTACTAATAATTAAATCTCAAATGAAGGGCTAAAAATAGCCAAAGTTATTACTCATCCATGACTTTTAGAAAATGTGTCAGTGAACATTTGAACCAAAGTGTGTAAATTTGAGGACGACCCCTGTGAATGCTCCAGCTGTGCCCCACCAACACAACACCTTTGGTATCAGTCGAAATCCTCAACATTTCCAATGCACGAAGCTTAAGCCAGTTTTTGAAATGACAATTTTATATTAATAATTAATGTCAACAAGTAAACTATAACTATAATGATGAAGTGAATCTCAACACAGTTTTGACCAGCTCATGTGTGTCAATATTTATTCACAAAACTCAAATAGGCTGCCCATAATATTGAGCTAATCAAAAATCTACATATACATTCACAAATATTTATTTAGGGTGCCCATAGTAGAGTAGTGATGAAACTGTTGAACACAAAATAGGTGGGTTATTAAAAAATCTCGTTGGGATAAAGTCCCAAGAAAAGAGCAAAGTCAGAAAATAGGCAAATATGTTAAAAAACCTATTTTTGATGTTAACAATTAACTTCCATATTAATATTAATGTGGTGAAATAAAAAACAAAATTCATTAAAAAATTGTCTACTCACATTCCACAAAATATATAGGCTATACATTTAATTTATATATTTCAGATAGCTGAACTAATAATCTAATAATGCCATTGTCATGGATTAAATCCCACATCCTTTTTTTTTTTTTTTTAAATTTCTTTAAAAAAAATGCTTATTACTATTTTTATTTATTGCTAGTGAAATTTTATTGACTTTGAACCCAAATGTTGGTCTGGCCTCATGTGAAATATGAGAATGACACCTGAATTCAGTTAAATTAAATGAAAATGGCATTTGAAAATGAATATGGGCACTTCAGTGAACAGAAAGAAAATTACAGAATAAACATTCTGTTATTGCAGCGGTTCTCAACCTGTGGGTTGCGACCCTTTTAAGGGTCGCATGACCCTTTCACAGGGGTCGCCTAAGACCATCGGAAAACACATATACCCTACAGTTATGAAGTATCAACGAAAATAATACTGTGGTTGGGGTCGCCACAACATGAGGAACTGTATTTAAGGTTCACGACATTAGGAAGGTTGAGAACCACTGTATTACTGCGTTGTTATTATTATCCTTCTACTGAAGAAAACAAAAAAAAATATTTGGATATCCCAAATTTACTCTGTCAGCTTTAGATTAATTAATAAGTCTAGTTATTTTTGCACAGACAAAAGTCTTTACGCCAAGCTGACAGCCATCTCCGAATCTGGTACAGGAAGTTGAGATATTTGACTCAGGGTTTACCTCCTCCTTTAAGAATAGCTGCCTTACCTGGCTGAAGAATCCATTCCGCCTGGCTGCTTACCCACAGCTGGGGATGACACCCAGAAGTAATTGAGACACGTTACATCTTGGTCAAGAGAAAAGAAATGCTACTGCACTATGGGGATAACTTACAAAACAATAAGAAATACCACAGGCATCAGTTTGGTATATTAACCTTCTTGAGATGGAGCCACTGTCGGTGCCAAGAAGACAGAGCCCTTTTCACAAGCCCTGCACTTACTTTGCTAAAAAATTTATAAAAAATAAAGTAATTACTTTGCAAATATAAAACTAAAACTAAATATATTCTTGTAGGGAATTGAATGAACTGAAACAATCTCTATGAATCAAACTGAAATTTCAACTTTAAGGAATGAGAAAACCTGATTTGCATAAATTATGCATGGAATTTTTTTAGCACTTAGAATAAACATGTCTTACTAACTTACTTGTAGAATTTTGTTACATTTTATGATTGTTGAAGCCAAAACAAGTCCTAACAAACATTTTAACGAGATTCAAAGTGAACAACTGCATAATACATTAATATATTTCCCAGGGGCTGCTCATGCCTTTTGGCATATTTCAAAGTCACATATTTTGTAAGCATTTATAAGGGTCAGCAGGTAAAAGAAAAAATGGATATAAGATGACAGAACTATCAATGGAAGCCGCCATTACAATGGTGAGAAGATGAGCAAGAAAAGCGAGAAGCAATCTGATTAGCTGGTACAAAGACCAGCAGGCCAATCTTGAGGTTTTTATTATTTGGCAGGTGGAATCAGCCTTTTGTCTCTTTCGCCCAGCCGCCTCAAAAGGGGTTAATATTATTCTTGGGTAAAGAAATATTTCAAAAGGGAAAATTGGATTTGGGTTCAGATTAATAATAATAAGTACCGGTAAGCCCAAATTTAAAACTTCAATCTGTTGAGAAACGAGTGTTAAAGAAATCAATTAAAATGGTGTGATTTAAAAAAAAAAAAATTCAGCTTGGAGATTTGACAAAATGGCAAGAGTGATGTGATCCAAGAACATCATGCTTTAACCTTCTTTCTGGTCAGCTGAAGGAGATTTTACCTCAGGCTACTGAGAAAAGAATTATGATAATCTATTTGTCTCTCATTGAAGAGACAAGAATGATAGCAAAAAAAATTTGTTATTCTCAAAAAATAAATATTATCTTTCTTTAACTTTAAACGTTCACTGTTATCACCCATTTCATTGTTGGAAATGAATTTTACAACAACTGAAATGTCCATGTACTGCAGTGATTTATTTAAATACAACAACTTAACTGTTAAAAATACAATTTAAACAATTAAAGCTTACACTGCATGTTAAAGCTCAGCTCAAAATTTGAATCTGGAAGACAGCGGAACAAAATGACTTGGATAAAAATATTTGTTGGAAGCATCTCTTCAGGTGGGACATGATAGAATGTCGTCATCAACCAAAGGCATCACACAAACAGGGTATTGGTCAGCATTGGATGAGGTTATCCACCAAAAATTTGTTTCAAAGTTTGAAACGAGAATATTAAAAACAGTGCCTAATGTCACACTGTATAAAGTGAAGGCAAGGTTTCCTTAAAGTTAAAGGATAGAAGTTAACTGAAATTGTCTAAGTTTTATGTGAAATTTTTTAAAAGTAAAATATGATTGACAAATTTGAAGAAAAAAAAATCTGTACCATTACGGCCATTGGATGATTTGTTTTAGGTATTATTTGTAATATCTTTATCCTCTAATTTTTCTTGATTAATCAACATCTCAGAAATGGTCCATTCTTTCTTTTAACTCTGGACTTCACAGATTAATGGAATTTTTCTCTCCCGACTGGACCACAACATTCTTTGCAAGTACCGCTTCTATACTCTTGTTCTGTGACAAGAAGGATGGGATGATCTTAATTGGAACACCTGGCTGACTGGGTGCAGGACAACTCTGGACTGGAGGCTGATAACCTGTTTTCACCTGCTCATCATTTGCTGTGTCAAAACTTGATGCGTCTGGAGGTAATGTGACTTTTTCGGATTGAACAATTTTTTCTTGAGCAGTAACATGGGGCTCACAAACATCAAGACCTGATTTGTGAGGGGTTGATTTTGAGATCTGCTGGGTTAGAAAAACTGGCATTATTCTGGCAGACACTTCCTGTTCCCCACTTCTCAACTCTTTATTGTCACTCGACACCTGTGAGCGGATGTCAGCAGCTGGAGTCTGAGGATTATTGTCAGTTGACAGGAGGGATATGAAGGAAGGTTGTGAGGTTAGTGGTGCAGTGTTGATTGCCACTGCCATGGGTTGGACTAATTCCAGCAGAGATTCAGCAGTGTTAGAGCTTGCTTGTGAATTTGCTAATCTCCTTTTCTTCACTGGTTCACTTAAAAATTAAAATAAAAAAACAGGAAAAGAAATTCATAATAAATTTAGATTGGGTAGATTCATTATGTATATGACTGTATATACTAATAATAATTCATTCATAGGTACCGGTACTACAGAGGTATATAACAAAGATGAGCAGTGTTCTCAGAAAATTTTTTTTTTACTCCAACAAAAACAAAACCCAATCCTTACAGATGACAATGAGTTGGAAACAACACTAATACGCAAAGTTTAATAAAACAATGTAATTTTTAATAAGAACTACCTAATAAAAATGGAAGTTGGAGATAAAAACAAACACGAGACCATGATGGAATGAATAAAAACTATTTTTACACCAACCTTTGTTTCAATAGTTGTCTTCGTGTTGTCTGCTCCTTCCTACTTATTCTGTGCAACATGGGGCAGTCACTTCCCCTGCTGCAGGTTCCAGTGTCAGCAAATGATGGACACACAAAAGAGTGAAGTTTCTTACACTGTTGGAAAATTAAAAATTTGGCTATGCTCATGGGTGCCACTCACTGAAAGCTGTGAACCCTGAAATCCCTTTCTAAAAAATTCTTGAAACCTGAAACTTCATTTAAAAATTTTTCAAACCCTGAAACTAAATGAAAATCATAAAATTCATACATTGTAGAAATAATTTCTTGTGCAATCATTACATCATATATTATATGCATATATTTATCCACAAATCTAATAACTGGGGACAAAGCACAAGCAGTTGAAGACATTTAATTTGCCCCCAAAAATAGCCTATGGTTCAATACAGATGCTAAAATTTGCAATTTCAACTAAACCAAAGGTGATCAAATGAATAAATTGGGTAAGGGTTCCTTCCAAAGTGGATAGATTCCTGCTTGAACAGTTTGGTCATTTCTGAGCTGTTGTTTCAATTTCAGACAATAGAAATATTTCATTGCAGACAATAGAATGAATCTTTGTGTTACAAAACCAAATAATTTTTTTTAGTGTACCGGTATATTATGTTTATGTTAAATTCTGGCATTTGAAGTGGAACAGGTTTGTTTTATCCAATGCAAATAAACTAATTTGAAATGTTATATCAAAGTTTAATTTTGTGGCTGTCATGTCTGTTGAGTGAACAGTGAAAATATTAAAGACAACAAATGGCTGTCTTCACAGATGAAAGTAAAAATAAAAACTAGTAAAAATAAAAAATGTGCCAGTTTCAGAACAAGTAAGACTTGGGGATAAGCTTCACTAACCTTGTCACCCAATGAACAAAATCCATTGTGAAAATCTCTGCAGACCGGCGCATCGGGGTTGACCTTGACATGGAGGTAAGGGCACCCATCCCGTGAGCATGATCCCCGTAGATAAAACAGGCAAACTGGCATTTTGTTGACCGATGCTTTGTGGGAGAAGGGGCAGTTGACGTCTTCACACTTTCCTCGTAAAAATCTTCATTCAACGATAAAAATAAAAACATGATGAAGTGATGAGCACAGGGGAAAAAATCAGATTACAAACAAGTATAGAATTACTCAAATACCTCAGAGATAAAGCAAGCTCCTGTCACTCCTGAATTGTAAACTTAATTTTAGGGATTAACTTTTTCCCTGGCATCAATCCGTTACAATGTGAGGATTATGTAGACTTCGCAGGATGAAATCACATGGGATTTTTATAGGATAAGCTGATTCCCTGGACAGCAAATCACCTCTCTTTAAATAATCTGGGTAACCCAAAGGAACATCATGTGTGGATGATACAACTTGGCACCAGTAGCGGATTTTTCATTGTGTCAATGTCATAATGCCTACAAGGTGTCATCTCCAGGGTTTGTGGTAATTACATCTGGACACATGACTATAAATAGTATCCTTATCCTTCCCGTTATTTTCTCATTTATGCCTACCTGGTGCAAACAGCTACTTTGGCAGCATCATGAATGTAAGGGCAATCATCACCACGAAAGCACTTTCCAAAACGACCAAAGAAAATGCAATGCTGTTTCAACGTTCTTGATTTGGTGTTGTTCTTTTTAAATTTTGCAGTGGCTATCGCAATGCTGCGGTAAACAGCTCGGCTGCAAAGAGATTAAAGGAGCTTTTATTAGAAGAATTTTAACAAATTTAATTCATTTGAATTATCTGATGATAATGTAAAAAGTTCAATTGTTAATACAGATTGAAACAATCTGCTATAGAAAATGTCATTAACTGAATTAACTGGAACATATGGTTAAAAATAAAATAAAAATTGGTTGTTTCCAAACTTGATGATCGCCGATGATTAATTTCTTTTTCAGTTAAGTAAAAGCCTAATGCTTCTAGGAGACTCACTCTTTGAGAGCCATCATGCTTACTTTACATTTTGTTAATGATTATTGAAAGATTTTGGCAATTCAATTTTTTTTTTAAAGTCAGTGGACAGCACGTTTATTGGCACATTACAAAATTAATATTTTATAAATGCGAATTACAAGTTGGAAATGTCTTAAAGGGGAATAGCTCTCATCACTTCTCCAAGATATGAATCGGAAAAAAAAAAAATTAAGAATTTGTGTTAAAATCATGCTAGACTAAGATGTTGTCCGGGGCTACGCCACTACTCTGTACTCAGGAGTGAATTTAGTGGAGAAAAGTAGTGCCGGCTTCAGGCATGGGCACACTGCCCAGGGCCTCACGCCTCTAGGTGGCCTCATGCTAGAGGGGGCCACATGCCTCCATGGCAGTGGTTCTCAACCTTTCTAATGCCGCGACCCTTTTATACAGTTGCTATGTTGTGGCGACCCCCAACCCCAAAATTATTTTTGTTGATACTATGCAACTGTAAGGTTTATGTGTTTTCAGATGGTCTTAGGCAACCCCTGTGAAAGGGTCATGCGACCCCCAAGGGGTCGCAACACACAGGTTGAGAACCGCTGCTCTAGGGTGTCTCACGCTTCAAAGGGCATTATGCTACCAATATTATTAGTGAATGTTGAAATATTTTTGACAATTTATTTTGCTTTCAAAACAAAGCCACAAGACCATTTATCTATTTGAATTTTCTGCAAAACAGTTTTTTTATCATTTATTTTGTTGCAACTTTGAATTTTGGGAAACCTACTTAAGTTTTAAATTAAATCCTAAATGATAATTATTAACCAAACATACTAATAGATTGTTTGTCGTTTGTTTTTAAAATAACGATCAACTGTGTTGAACGGAATGTTTTTTTATTTTTTACTTATTTATATTCATTCATTGGTGAATTTAGTTTAAACAAACAATTTAAAATAAAATTAGGACACAACATTAATATTTAGATACAACTAAAAATAAAAAAAGAAATTGTGTAACCCATGCAGAGTCAAGGGAACCTACATTTCAACTAGCATCTTTTCTGTTGTTAGTCAGTTAAGTGTAGAATGAAGCAAAACTAAGTTCATGTATGCGCCAAAATGCATCCCATAATTGTGAATTTATCAAACATTTTGTGGGGAGGAGCCTACTGAGACCTCTTTCCAAACCTTACCCCCAGTTTCGTTCGGCGCCCTTGATCTCTTTTCCCTCCCCAATTACAGTGACATTACCGACACATTTTAATCTAAAAAAAAGGCGCTGGATGTAAGTTAACAAAATTATTTTTTTGAACTGATAAAATTATGATTTTTCTTTAGTTTTGTATAAGCATTCGGACAATAAAGATTCAAATGACAAAACAAAGCTGGGCTAAAAGCAAATCGTCAGGGGGCTCCACTACCAGAATAAATTTATGGTTATGCATGGCGGTGGCGTCGAAGTCAGAGCTAGCCTTGGGCAGCAAAATTCCTAATTGCGGTGCTGATAGATGCCCTGCCCCCTCCTTCGAATGCCTGAAATAATGCCCCCAATCCCCCAAGGAAAATTACCTGAAAGAAACTGATCAAAACGCTTAATCCAACATAGGCCGTAATGCTTTTCATAACATTACTATAATGGTAGGCTATAGACAACCGTTCCCAGGAAAAGCGGCGACCAGGGCGCACTAGTAAGACAATTTTGCCGCCGCTGTCTATGGGAAGTACAAGGTATTTTATTGTGAAATTCACTTTTAAGGGCCTATTTTAAGATGATTTTGCCACCCCTTGATATTGGCGCCAGCGGTGATTGGTCCTCTTCCCACCTCCTTCTTACGGCCCTGAGTAAATAAAGGGTTATGGGCTTAAGTGTATTACTGTGCCTAGGGCCTCCGCTGCTGTTAAGGCGGCCCTGAGTGGTTGACAAACTTTTTGTTATAAGATCTCTTTGCGTGTGTGTGTGAGGGGGGTTTAATTGTAAAAAAAAATTTCAAAAATAAGATTTGAAGTGCCTTATGAATTGGGTGGACAAATGGGGCATGAAATTTAATGAAACTAAATGCTACACAATGACCATCTCAAGAAAAAAACCATCAAACTATATGTACTCACTAAACGAGACAATCCTCAAACAAGTATCAAATAATCCCTACCTTGGAATTCTCTTCTCAAATAATCTAAAATGGTCACCCCCATATAAACAAAATTTAAAAAAAAAGCCAACTCCACCCTAGGTTTCATCCGAAGAAATCTGCGCCACTGCCCAACTTCCTGCAAACGAAATGCCTATCTCGCACTTGTCCGCCCACTACTAGAATATGGAGCGATCATCTTGGACCCACACCTTAAGCAAGATGTGGACGAGATGGAGCGAATTCAAAGTAAAGATGTGCATTTTATCGCTTGAGACTACAAATCCACCACTTCTGGCTTCGTCACTGGCCTCTTAAAAAGATTTGACATCCCCACCTTTAAAGACAGACGAGAGGGACTCCGCCTGATATTCTTATATAAAGTGGTCATGGGACTGGTGCAGCCCATCCCAGCAGGCTCGTACCTCACCCCACAGAAGCCGGGTAGACTGATTAGAGCAAAACGCTCACTGAACACTGACAATCCCATAAACAATTACAATTACACCCAAAACAATAGCAAATGCTTCAAAGTACCTCAGGGCAACACAGTGCAGTATAAACAATCTTTCTTCCCACGCACAATAATAGCATGGAACCACCTGAACAATGCCACTGTGAACTCGACATCGGTCGAAAGCTTCAAGGCTGCCCTGGTATCAGCTAGGAGCTGTTAGAATAGCAACATCATACCCCCAACCGTTGCACAGATGCCAGTACATGGATGCAGCAACGAACACTACCAGAACCAGGTGTCCTATATGTATCACCAGAATATCTCATAAATTTAAAACATTCATAAAACACTTTTATTTCAAGGACTTCAAAGTCACTATTGACTCAAAGGGCTGGATAAAATGACAACACTGACCGAATGTGGACCATGTTTGCCAATAAAATTAAACATCACACTTGATACAAGAATAGCTCCTGAATGAGCTTCATGGTCCAGCTTTATTTAGGTCTATCAAACGTTAAAAAAAAAATTAGTTTAGTTGCTGAAATGACATCAGTGCATGAAGATCCAGAAGAGGTGACAAAATTTAACAAAGGCGAACATGATCTTTTTTGCACTGTACCTTGCTGCTATCCTGGTCTTTTCATCACCCACTTTCAATGATAGTAATCCAGAATCCGATGCTGAGGGTCCCGTCGAACTTGACAAAACTGTGGAAAAAAAGTAAATAACGCAATGTACTGCAGCATTAGGTCATGAAGCTAATTAAATTTTGCCTCGCTAAGATACCGGTAGTTTTACAACATAGAGCCACTTGAGTTTATGTTGAAAGGTTGAAATGGTCCTTACCAGCCCTAGAAAGTTTTCTGCGTCTAGTATCTATGTTGAAATGAGCACCCCTTAACAAGATAAGTTTCATCTTCTGTTGCCTCCAATCTGTGACATGACATTAAAAGAACTTCAATGTAAACATACAAATTCTTCAATGGCTTCAACCGTCCATGAGCACTTATGGAACCATAGAGCTTCATCTGGTGCTGTGCTTGTCTTTCCTCATTATTTTTGTCTCGAGAGAAAAGTAATCAAAATAGCAATGCCAAAACTTTGAGTTTCCACAAACAAAATGAATTTGATCAGAAAATATTTTTTTTTTAAAATCATGGCAAAAATTGTTTCTATTCAAAATAAAGTAAATCCTAAATATATATGTCTATTAAATTTTGTTTTGCACAGATTTTATCGAACAAAAAGCTTAGCCTCAGTCTGCAATTTTTAAACTTCTTAAACTTAAACCCACCGTTGTTTTTCAACGATTGTCTTCTGTTTGCTTGACTTGTAGCAAATGTCAGTTCTGTTTTCGATGTAGATGTTCTCCTAGCCTTGATTAGTTTTCTGCTGGAAGATTTGTAAAGCACACCACCAATGTGAATCATGTTTCCTTTAAACCTATACTGCCGTGCTTTCAGTGCCTGAGATTGCTGCCACAGGGACTTTTCAGTGTTGAAGCTTATTAAAAGAGAAAAAGCATGAGGATATCTTTAACATATTTAAACATTTTTTTGTTGTTGTTGCATAAATTATCTTCAAAACTATATTTCAATATTTTTATCTACAATATTTTCTATCATTTTATCCATTTTTTAACCAAATAAATGTTTTCTGATATCAAATTATGAAAATTCATCCCAAGGAAAGGAACATGTCTCTTTTTAAAATGATTAACTTTTGGCCTGTTGATTTCTGTCTTATTATGTTAATAAGAATAAAAGTATTGGTACATTTACTTAATACTTTATGTTGAAAAACTGATTAAAATCTGGACTGTAATTTTATGATTCTCTAAACTTCTAAACCTTTACAAAAATATATCTAGATATTATAAACTTCACTTTCAATTCATAAACAAATTTCATCTAATTATACAAAATGCATACCCAGCATATTTATGAGTTCTTCCATAGCCCATTTTTAGTCTTTGTTTCATTTTCTGTCGCAGGAGATTTTGAGCATGAAGTTGATAAAGGCTGGGTCGCAACCATTTAAATCGGGACTTTGGATTTTGGCCAGGAACTACAGAAATTTAATTCATGACAAGTTAATTTTTATCATTGGATCAAATTAAGCTAAACATTCACATACATCATTTTATATATATATATAATTTATAATTATATATATAATTTTTATATATTGTTTTGTAATGTTTCAAAGTATATTATAATATATTTAAAATTTTCAAGATATTAACTTACTGGTAGAACACTGAAAGTAATCTTGGGATAAATGTGGCGGCTCAACAACCAAACTTTCTTCTTGGCTGGAAGCTAGCTTATGGCTAACCCAGTGGTGTTTACTCCGTCGTCGCCTAAACACATGGCCAGGAAGCTTTTCTGTCCTCCTGTCCAACTTATGCAAATTCTTCGAATGTCCACTGAGTCTTCGCACAGCAGTGTTAGCTTGAGCTGCTTTTTCCAGTTTCATTTGGTCCCACTTATACGGTTTTATTGCCCCATCACGCTTTACATAGTGGGGTGGCTTCTGTTTATTTTTAATTACATCAATAGAATCTTTAAATTTTGTATTTGGAATTTCAGAGGCCTTCCTTCGATCCAATTTGTGAATATTTTTGTGCTGATCATAAGATGAAGGCTTCACGATTTCTGAGATCCGCAATGAATGTGTTGCGTTGCGGTACAGTTGCGGAGCCAATCTGACTGCTGATGTGGGAGACAATCTTTTCAATTTATATTTGCTGACTAATTTAGCTGCACTCTGTGTGTTCAGTGTTGGGGTTTTCTTAGAATGATATCGCTGTACCAAAGTCGATGATGGATTAGGGGTGGAGGTGTTGTTGGGTGCACTTATTTTTAAAGGGGTGCTTAACTGGTCTGGGCCTTTTGATGGCTGAGTATATACAAGTTTGAATTTATTATCCAATGAGGTAGCCTGGTGGGTTGAAAGTTCCTGAGATTGTGAGAGTAGCACACCACTTGTGTGAGCTGCACTGTCATAACTGATCAACTGGTTTTTGTCATCTTGTGAGAGTGAAGAAAACAATGCTTGCCGTACACTGTCGTGTGAGGACACCGAAAGACCTGAAACTGGATTGTGTATAAAAATAGCACTTCTTTTGTTGGGGGACAGATACATAGGTTTGGGGAGTTGGGAAGCTGCTGATGAGCCTGCCTGAGTGTTAGAACTTTGAATAGTATTTACATGAGACACTTTGTAAGAGGATAAGCTTGAATGATGTGAGGTGACACCGGAAGCAGACATACTATTACCAGGTAAAGGTACTGTTGCAAACTGCTGTGAAATCACTTGGGTTTTAAGATTATCTGATGTCGGTTTTGTCCACTTAGTTGACTGAAGATTCTTAGTACCGGTAACTGTGGAAAACCTTGATGTGATGATATCTGATTCCCTAAATCTGCTTAATTTAAATGATGAAACAGCGACTGGCGCATCGTGATCAGTTTTTAAAATCTGCTTTTGTTCCTTCACATGGAATTCGGAATGTTTAGGTTTTTTTTCTTGCAAAGTCTTATCTGTCTTTCTAAACTGCATCTGGTTCTGCTTGAATTCTATATCATTCTTCATGTACCTAATCCTAAGTTCCATCTCCTCAAGATAATCCAGATACTTCTGAGATGATTTTGAAGTTTGCAATTTTTCAGGCTTGGACAGGTTAACTTTGGAATTAGATGGAAGTTTTTCATTTTCTACAACAGTCTTATTATGTGTTTTATCCTGTGAGGTCTTGATATGTTGTTTAGATTGTTGCAAGTCTGTACTGACTGCTACTGCTGATTTGAATAAATGGCTGTTGGATTGCCCTGGACTTTCTGAGTCAGACATTTTAGTTCTGAACTGACCTGAATTTTAAAAAAAAAATATTTTTGGGGGGTAAAAATGCTAATGTTGTAAAGGAATTTTTTTTAAAAATTTGAACTAAATTAAAATGAATATATTGTTGAAAACAAGGTTCTTATGGCAAGATAACTTATAAAGTTTCTCAAGTTGAGAAAAGTTATACTTATGAATACATAGATGATAAATACATATATGCAGACAGATAGCATTCTGCCTTAAGTCTTGTTCTTAATAAAGCCTTTCCACTTCTAATTTAGGAAACTCGTAATTGATGTGGCATTTTACAAAACAAAGAAAACAGGAATAAAGAAATGGATCAAGAATAAATATCTGAAAAGTGGTACATAGTCTGCTATAATTAAAGGTTTCTCTTACAAATGGGAAATGAGTTATGTCAATTCACCTTTACTTTTTTGCGGTGGTAGAACTATCCTCACAGGTTCTTTATTGTCACCAAACTGCAAAGCCGAGCTTTTAATTTTAGGGATAACCAAGCGAGAATTTTCTGTTACTGTTACAGTTGTAGGTTTCAGATTATCTCTATAATGCTCAATAGACTTTGACTTTGTCCCTGGATATTTTTTATTTACTAAAGTGACTTGATTGGCAGGAGCTATTACAATACGCTGGGAGCCTGTTAGCAATCTACCTGATGTAAGAACAGTACGTTGATAATTTGATTGAGCTGTCAAATCCTTCCCCAATGCCTGCCAAGAAACATTTTCTGGCATCTTCAATAGCCCATAATAATGTTTAGTTCTAAACCTGGAAAAGAATGTAATAAAAGGAAAAAAAGAAAAAGCAAATATCATAAATGGCATGACATGAAGACCTCTGGAAATGTTACGCAAAGAGTAAGAAACAACTTCTTATTACTAAACTATATAATAAGTATATAGTAAAACAAAATAATGCATTCAAAAAGAAATATGACTCAAAATTTTAACGTTATGAACTGAAAAAAGGATTTGACCAAAATTCTGTTTGATCAAATTTCCATCATTCAATATTCCGTAAACAAAGTTTCTTTCAAACAAATTTCCAGATACAGTGTTTCTCATACCCAAATGCCGTTTGAGAGGGGGAAACACAATTTTAAGGTTTTTTTTCTTTAAAAATTTACAAAAATCTCCAGGCAGTAGCTTTATTACTTAAAATATAATTTATGATCAGCAAGCAATTTTTAATTACTGTAATTGTGTTTAAGCAATAATTTTAATTTTTGCAAGGGGGGAGTCTGTCTATTTGAGGCCATTTAAATTGAAATTAAATACTCTGTTAAGAGGAGGTGGTGTCCCAAAAATGAAAGAGTAAAAGAAGCAGAAAATTAATCGGAGACAAAGCCTGAATTAAGGCACCTTTGTCCAAAAAGTATATAATAATTATGCACATATTTTGCATGAACAATGACAATTTTGGGTAAATTTGGAGAGATAGTACCGCGGCCGTCATCTTGGTTGTTGCGACCCACGAACTTATGTCCTAAATATATAGGGTTGCCAGATACATGGACACCAAAAGTAGGACATAATAAACCAAAAAAGAGGACAAAGGAGGACATCTTGCATGTTTCATTTTAGTTGTCCCGGATGAAACTCGCAGTCAGCACAATTTTATTTTAATAGCTGCCAATTAAGTGTATCTTACTATTAGTGAATCGACTATGAAACAGTCACGTTAAAAAAACAAATTCAATGGACGCCTTTTTCAAAATGTCAAACAACATTATTAAAATTGCCATTTGTACATTCATTGCCTTATAATCTTTATTAATTACATGACATATTTCTCGGAGGAGACAACTTTTTGCAGAAGATCCTCTTTAGCAATCACATATGCATAAAACTGTTCACAGGTAAGATTCTTCTAAATTGTACTTTGTAAGAATGATGCCCTTTATAGAGTCGAGTAAGAGTCTATTTCTTTCCTTTGTCCATTGAGCATTAATCAAGGAGAACACTCTTTCCACATTGCCATTGTGACCATGGATACAGAGGAAAAATTCACAAATTTTAAGTAACTCTGAGAAGCAGCATGCACTTGGGCAATTTTGGGAAAATAAACTCCACTGTTCATGCAGGAGTCTTTCAGAAAAACTGTTCATTTTTGTCTTGTACAATGACTTAAGATTGCAGTATTGGTCAAACAATTGCACATCATCTACAATAATACCCTTCTCTTTCAGATATAATATGCATGCCAAAAAGTTCATCAAATTTACCGTCTTTGATTTTATCTAAGTACATCCAATTAAAATTAAAGCATTAAAATTCATCAAAGGGTTTCAACCACTTTTCTAAGTAACCAATGCATGCTTCATACACCAACTTAACATCTACCATAAAATTGTTATACTCTTCTTCTCGACCACTTTAACATTTTGACCATAGATAATACAGCACAGAGCTAGATTGTTAGAATGACTAAAATATACTGGTTCGCAGAAATGCTTAGACTTTGTACATTGTAACAACGTAAACATACGATGTAATAGTTTCAACAATGATACACAAAAATTATTATATAAAATTTAAGAAAAGCCGGACATTTTACAAGATTTTAGCTTTGCCTGCCGGACGGAGAATATTGAGCTAAAAAGGAGGACATATCCTCCTTTTGCCGGACGTCTGGCAACCTTATAAATGTATTCCTAAACCTAACCTGAACCCTAAAATGTATCCCTAAGCCTAAACCCAACCTGAACCCTAATTCACGGCAACTTTAATAAACATGCATATGAAAACCAAGATGGTGGCCGCGGTACTATCTCTACAAATCAGCCTAATTTTGTATGGGGGAGGAGGTGGGGGGTAAAAATAGTCTCAACATATTTTGTCATCACTTATTGTCAGTTATCAAGGCCGAGGATGGTCCATAACTTAAAAAAGTAAGTTCCTTCAATTTCAATCATATAAATTTATGGTAAAAATTTTACTAAAAGTGCAAATTTATTATAAATATAATATAATTATAATTCATTTTAAAAACTTGGTTTTCAACATTTAAAAATTAATTAAATTCATTCAGTAAGACCATTGACCCAAGTGATACTAAAGACTAAAGTTAAAGAGTGTTTAAAAAAATAAAAGTTTACAAAAAATTCTCATTCGTGACTTAATAAATAAAAAAAAGCATTAAAATATTAACAAGCAAATATGTTGACCAAACTAATAATAATAATAATAAATACGCCTTAGATTTTTTTAAACATACCAATTCGTGTTTTCATTGTAAAGGGAAATAATTAGTTTTCTAGCTGACAGCGTCTATCAGTAAGGAAATCTTGTTTACTTATTTTATAAATTCGCTTCGCGCTATTGTGGGCACTATAACTTGGATATATATTATTATAAACGCAGGGGTTATAGTACAGTTAATGATTGAGGAATTATAAAGATTTTGTAGAGGCGAATATGAGATTATGAGGAGAGTGAGGGCAGGTGAGCTAACTGGGAAGCATATGATGGTCATGGGATAATGGGAAGAGGGTAAGTAAGTATTGAGGGGACAGGTAGGAAGTATGAAGTGATGGAAAATGTGTCATGACGAGAGCTTATGGAACGAGGAGGGGAAGATGTTAGAGAAACCTGAAGAGGGTATGTTGGGAGAAGAAGTCTGAAGAGTGTGAGAGTGGAGAAAGTAAAAAAGGGCGAAGATGGTTTTTGGGTGGGAGAGGTTAGGGAACAATTTATTATTTGCGGTAACATGTGAAGAAGGAAGTTGATGGTATATGAGTGTAAAGGAAGGGTCTCGGGGGTTGAAAATGGTAAATCTTATTGAAGAGGGAGTAGTTATGCGGTTAGGGAAGCTATAGATTGACCAGTCTGTTTCTCAAAGTCAAAGAGAAATATTTGGAATTAGCCATAAAATTAAAATATTAAACTAGTTTTCATTTCAAATGTATAGACTAGGCTTAGCACGGGGACATTAAAAAAAACCATGATGACAAAAATTTAGTCGTTGAAAATGTATGCATTACTTCAAGTACTTTCTTTAACTTTCCATATATTTTTTTTTTCACATTTACGTGTGAGACCGACTTGTGTTAACAACAATTAATTATCTGTAATAGGAAGCATTCAATTTCTTTCACTGATCCATTTCATTAAAAGAAATTTATTATTAAAGAAAGAAATTTGGAAAGAAAATATGGTGTATTTAATTTCCCTTTATAGTCAATTTAACATGTCGAAATAACGTTTCATGGTATTTTCTCAATGTTTCGTTATTTAAAGCTTAAATTTTTGCATGTCAGTTCTTGTTTGTCTAATTTTTTTCGTCCATACCGAACTGCAGTGAACTGTTCATCCTTTTTTTTCTTTTCAAAAAATATTTTAAATTGAATAACATACGAAGGCACCTCAACAACTATTAAAAAAAAAAGAAAATTAACAAGAAGCAAATTAAAATTGGATCATACACATAATAATGTATACATTTTGAATTTAACCAATCCGTTTCCAATAGTTTCAGCGACGCCAATATGGTCGTCAGTGCACTTCCGGAAGAAAGTTGCATTTTTGTTGTTAAGTCTAAAAGATGTCTTGTCAAAATATGTTTTATTACTGTGTCTTCATGTAACATATTTTAAATGCTAGACTAGCTAAAGGTTTATTTATATTTTAAAAAAATTTAAAAAGCATATATGAGGTCTTCATTTAGACATATAAATAAGCTTATTTGGTAGTCAGTCATACTAACTTAGCATACTACTTTACTTTCTACTTTCTACCTATCTTTGCTATTGATGAATTGTCTGAACTGAATTTTATAACTGGAATTGGAATTTAAATGAATGAACAGAATTGAAATGGGTAAATTACAAAGATTAAAACGTTTAAACTAAACAGTCCAAAATATTGAATTTATTATTTTTTTTTGAATTTTAAAAAAAAAGAACAATTATTAATTATTCATAGACTGGAAAAGAAATTCAAATACATGTAATGTAAATTCATCCTCATTTTAAATTTGGCATTATTTTATTAGTATTTATTACTTTTAAAATTTAGTATTTAGCTTGAGAGCTTAGGGTTAGCACTGCATAATTAAGTAGATTTTAAATTAAATGTCCTATTCCCCTCGCTTTTTTGTTGATATTATATTTAATATTAAATTCAATTTCTTAAATACGGTATAAGTTGCTAATTCTCATCTAAATGTACTCCAATAAGAGACAATATTTATAAATTTATTGTACAAAACATGTACACTAACTAATATTTATAATTATTTTTAATCAAAGAATCAAATTGTATATTCATGCAAATTATGAAAGAAGATTGAATTGTAATTATATTTTAAGAACATAAACTATCCTTTTAATTTATGCTCATTATGTTTATTATTATGAAGTCTGTCTTAATAATTAACTTAATTAAAATACTCTTTTTTAAAGATGAAACAAATGAGTAAGGAATATTACTACTGTGTCAACCTTCAAAAATGGCTGATGATTTAATACCAACAAAAGACACAAGCAATAATGCTCTGCGGAACATACCAAATGAAGGTGTGGTGATAAAGCACAATTTGCATATCTATATAGCCGCCTTTCATTTGTGAGCCATATGTTTGAGATAAATAAATTTGAAAATTTAATTATCATTATGTGTAATTCTTACCATTGTTTATATGAATGTATGCTTTCAAAATTTGTTAAATTGAAACATACAATTTATTGAA